GGCTCAGTGACAGCACTACCGAAAGGTAATTAGTTCAGCTGACGAAAACTACATTTCAAGTGTCAGCAATTTCACAGAACATCGTCAAGTAGGGGATTCCTGGTCTGACCGGTGGCTTTTTTTTTTCTTTTTCTTTTTTTTCCCAAAGGCTGTTATTGTTCAAACATCTAGCTTATGTTCACAGGCAATATTCAAAGCACAGGCTGATCAGAGAACAGTCTCCCATCAAAGAACTGGGCAAACACATCCCCACACAAACAGGGATGCTGGCTTCTTCACATTCAAATGGTACGGTGTAAATAAAAGGGCATTTTCAGTTAGACAAAACATTTGAGACAAAGATGAAACCTGGACATCCACACATGAGACAATGAGGTAACGCTGACAAAATGGTCTACACATTTGACAAACATAAGGAATGGCAACATAATGTTATGAATATATACAATATGTGATGTTCAACGTTTACACTCATTCGAACCAAACGAGAATAAAACATGGAAAAAAAACACAAAAAACAACATTTGTTCAAAACTTTTTTTTTTAAGTCCAGGATGACGTGATCTGTTTGAAATTACAAGCAAGATACAGCCAAGAAATAAATATAATGACGGGAACAAGTCAATAGTAAAAGACAAAAAGATAAAGGAAATATATCCAGTATGGTGTGAATCAAACCAAAGAAAATATGAGTCCCGACTGCTTTGAGAAACTGGACAGTCAACGTATCTGTACACACACATGCCAACATTCCATGAAAATACACACAGCACGGGCAGTTTTCATCACTGGGCTGGCTTTTGGATTCAGTGCATTCTTTAAGGAGGTGGGTTATTTATGTGGAGTTATGGCGGCTGCTTTTTTATACTTGCTGATTGTTTGCCGTTTTATGTCCCTAACTTATTTGACATACTCAGCTGACTTCCAGAAGTGCCCTGGGTGGGAAAGGCGGCGGTTCCTTTTTGGCAACTTTTCCAGTAAATCTACCAGCTTGGAGAAGCTGGGTCGCTCCTCTGGCTTGTATGCCCAGCAGAGGAGCAGAATATCCTGGAAAGCAAAGACACAGAAAAAAAACTAATTATTTGATCTTTTTCAGGTGCTTATGTGATGAAAGAAACAGGTGTGTCCAGGTTGTCTAAAAACTTCATGAAGCTAGTTGGTGTAATTTGGCCTGATTATCTGATAGTGAACTGTAACACAAGCAGACCCAGCAATGGTTTTGACTTACATTTCATACATGCAAACAAGGCTGGCTGGCATATGAGCTAAACCAAGAAGATTGAAATTTGTTCCTTAAGCTGGGCTACACAACCTAAGTGTGCAATCTGTAAAGAAATATTTTCATTCAAATGGCATTTGACAAACTTTACAACCACATAAGGGACTATCAAGACGAATGCAAAGACAAAGCCAAATATCTTCAAACAAAGGACAGTGTTTCCAACCTGACTGTGAAATCTGACTTGACACCCTTAAAATATTAGCACACTGTCATCTTTACAGAGATTTTTCAATTTCAATTAAAAGCATTCTTCAAATACCTTTTGTTGGTGTCATGTGAAAATCTACTTCAGATGAATCCAACCTGCGATTGCTTGAGCTGTTTCTACACATAAACTCATTACAAAGTGAGGAGAATCAGGACACTGTCTCCGGTCGCCTTTCTCACATTACTTTAAACCCAAATAAGATGACTGAACTCAGACAAGTTAAAGCAAATGATTGCCTTTAATTTTTCAAGTTGATGAACTTGAAAGTCAAGTGTTTATGCTACATGTAGTATTTAATTACCGTTTAATTTAAGTATTTACAAAGTCATAAGCTCTTTTCGAGCCCAACATATAACATTTCTCCCACATTTTGCAGATGGGAGAAATGTGCCTTTTAACATATGCTTTATATATGCTGGGAAAGACCCGAGTCTTAATTTATTGACTAAAACCTAACAAAATAGCATCAGAAAAAGCAAAAGTAAAATAAAATGCAAAAAAGAGGGGGAAAAAAGAATAAGTCATCTCAGTTGGGATGAAAAACTCTGATTTAAAGTCCATGTGATTAAAGTATCTGCCACCTCACCTGCCTCCTGAGGCAATGTTATGACAAGTTTAGATTTCCCTCACATCGGAATACTGAATGGATATCCCTAATCATGGAAAGGGGCTAGCAGCTGCATTAACATTTCTAACAAAGTGTCCATACATGCTAAGCTGGGAGTCAGAATGTCATGGAAGTCAACATTAATATACTCAAGTCAATAAAAATTTAACCTCAATGGCAGATATAATATATATATATGTACACATACAAATATATGCACATACAAATATATACACATACACACATATGTGTGTGTCTTTATTTTCTTTCTTTTTCTTTTTTATCTATTTAGTTTTTTACACTAAAACAATGTAATATTACAATTTCACTGCTTTAGGTAGACAAAAGTAATGTTAACTAATTAACTTCCTAATAAAATATTTAAAAAGATGTATTAGTCCTTTGACTGGCATGAAACTTTAATGGTAAGTGATGACTCATGCTTGACAAGCATCAGCACAGCAGTTTAAGGTTCACTTCACAGGTCTTCATTTTAGCACTGAGCAGGGTATCACTCTGTACATTAGTGACTGTGCTAACATGGGGACCGTAATTAACCCAACAGCTCACTTCATTCATGCTACCACAGCATCACTAGTCTAACAGGAAGAACTAAAAAAACCAATTATGCAAATGAACTGTAAACATACTTTGCTCCATTATAACAGAACATCTACTCAGGAAAATCTATTATTAAGAGACAAGTGCGGACTAGCAGACAGATAGCAGAAATGGTACAGTAAAATGAAGTTATACTTGGAGTTTACTTAATCTGCTTCATTTACTTAACAACAACAGAAAAAGTGACAAAAACGTAATAATTAAATTCAAAGAATGTTTTGAAAATTTTCACACTACTTAATCTTTTTACTAATTTAAACATTTTGGTTTACAATAGCACACAGCAGGAGAATCTTCACACCAAATGCATTCTCTGAAAATAGTCAATTTGGCTAAGGCAGGGGTGCTTCATGGGGAGACAATTACACTAGACAGCTACTTGCTCTCATGGGATCAATCACGCATTGCATAAACTTTGCAACTGGGAGCCAGAGGAGTAAAGACATCTACACTTTTACATAAAGCTCTGACAGATGATGTACCACATGTGTGAAAATGACCTTCCTGTCTTTATCAGGCAAGGTAATCTTTCAATGAGTGCTTAAACACGAAAATTATAAAGTAGCTAATTTTGAAGGAAAAGGTGATTCATGAATAGTGAAAAGTTAAAAAGAAAAAAAAGAAGCTCTTACTAATATCTCCTTCCCCATGCCAGTTTGTGCAAGATTGGGTTTCATCCCACTGCCGATCTGCCATATGATCACCTCTGCTGGTTGACTCTTGTAAGGCCATTCACGTGCGTGTAATTCGTACCAGATGGTGCTGAGAAGACAAAGAAGCAAAGTAGATCAGTGTTTTAAACTATCTGGTCATAAGAATAACAGCGTCTTCGAAAAACACCTATGGAGGATTCTTATCCAGGCAAGAGTAAGGACAACTATAAACTGACAAACTTTATTTTTGCAGTTGAATAAGCAGCTGTAGATGATGCATAATTGGATCGTGGTATGTGCAAAAGCATGATTTTGTGGATGACTTTTTGTCAGTTTAAATTTTTTGAAAAACAATTAAGCTAAAAAAACAGTACATTTTTAATTACTACTCATGGAAAATTAGCATTCACTACCTTCCCTGTGCAAATAAGGTGTTTTCATTCTGCTCCTGCGTGTCGAGTTTGAGTAGAATAAAAATAGCTCTTTGCCAGGAGTAAGGGGAAAAAGATGATGGCTGATTGGTGATGAATATGCAAAAAAGCCACGAGGGTCACCTCTAGGTAACACAAATGCTAACAGAGCAGCTGGACATGGTGCACCAGTGTTGCACTCTTCTTCCCTTTAGAATAATATAGTGATGAGACCTCCATATGGGGAACCATCTGAGAAAGCAATTGTGTTAGGAGTCAACAGAGCAGGGTCCACCCCCTCAAATGAAGCAGTAATGTCACTGGAGAAAGAACAGGAGCCAGGGGGGCTTTTTTAATCAAGTTAGGATGAATTTAAAATTGGGCTTCAGAGGAGGAGCTGGAGGACACCTCGGTTTGAGAAACCTGAGTGACACTCAGACAGGAAATCTGTATGTAATAATGGAAAAAAATCAGTGAGATGTTTTCGACCAAAAGGAGCGCATGGAAAAATACATCATGCGTCTGAGCACACCTTCAGTCACACTTCTATTCAGTCCTCCTGCTTAGACGACTCCTTTCGTTTCTCACCATCACTATTGCAATTATTCAACCTGCAATTATTCAATCACTTTTGCACATTTGCAAAGGCAACCCCCTCTTGGTTCGCATTATTTGCTCAAATAAGATTTTAACACACACGGATGCACCAGTCGCTAATCAGTGTGCATTTTATACTTCAATTCGTTTTCCCAGTGTTCTGCTGTCTTTCAGCTGCTATTGCTTATTTGTGCATTACCCTAGCCCATCTTTATCATAAATATAGATCCAATCACTCAGTATTTCAGTCAAATCACGTAGATTAAGTGTTTATTAATCAGGTGAGCAATGCCAAGTGGAGTCTATGCCAAAATCATAATTTTACATAATTAGGTTTTAACACTGTTAATCCCATTTTCAGTAAATGCTTATGAAATGGATGTATAAAGACTGGAAATAGCATAAAAATGTTTCATTTATTATATCAGATTACTATATTATACATGTCTTTGCACACTAGTCTTTGTACAGCAGTAAAAAATCTCTATCTATAATGAGATCTTAAAAGTGTTAATGAGAGTTGCCTCATGTGGTGCAGAGTATTTATTAAGTTCACACACATATTTGGAGTTTGTAAACCCTCTTTGTCAACAGTCTGCTATAATCCTCCAGGCTCGGATGCCGTCTGGACAAACAAACTAGGGGGCATCTGGTAAGAGGACTCTCACCCAAAAGCAAAGACATCTGACTGCTTGGAGAAAGGAAGCTTGTCCTCTTCTGTTTCTGGAGAGAGCTGCTGGATGATTTCAGGGGCTAGGTGGCACAACCAGCCGTTGGGGATCCTCAGTTTATCTTCTCTGCGGCTGTAGAGAGAGAAAATGTGCAGATGGAGACTTGTCAGGGCTTATTGATCTACTGTATCATGCTGCCAAGCTATTACACTGATTCATTTTCATTATAGAACACTGTAGATACAAAAACCACCAATAAGATGAATCTGTAATCCTTTTCAATTACTGTTTCATATAGCTGAGCGTCATTGTTGCTGTTGCATTACTGGTAAGTTGGTGTAATTGCCATTCTATTTTATAAACATCATCTTTTACTTTTCTGTTTAACTGTTACAGTGGTTTTATCTTTGAAATAAATTGGTGATGTGTAAATGACAGTTTTCAAAGTTTTTGCAAGTCACACTGCAGGAAATTAAGTCTTGATCACAATCTGTGTTAAAGTTTTGAAGCGCATCAGATTGTGGATTTAAAATCCACTGAATTGCAACGCTACAACATAAAAACAAGAAAAGGAGATAAACAAAGACTTATCATTGTCTTACTCTCAATGTACAGTTCTTATGTTTTAACAACACAACCAAAATATGCACAGCTCTTACCTTATTGCCGTCACTTGAATTCGTGAAACTTGTTATGATTAGTGTGTGCGTTACCCATGCTAAGATGGCACACTTATGTTACGCTGATAATGGCAATATATCCTAATGTCAGCAGATGTTGTTAGAATGCTAGTGAGTGAAATTTGATCATTATTCATAGTCACAGTGGTCAAAACTACATAAAGTGCTCTGGCTAGTATTTATCATAATTGTCCAAACAGATCAGCCAGCTGTGAGGGTGACAATTTAATAAAATCACTGCTTCAAAACAAGTGACAGGGAAATAATCTTACTTCTTTTCACCAGTATTTAACTGAGAGCCATGCTAGGCTCAGTGAGACTCTGCTGACCCTGCCGCGCGGTCATGTAGGCTCTCCACAAGCTTGGTTTTCTGTTCTTTGTGTGTTTGGATTAAAGAATGTTAGCTACCGCTCACCGCTCGTCTGCAGGCTTTATTTAAATGGAAAACTTCCACAACACCATGAAGATCTTTCATCACAAAAAAGCTCTAATTACCTTCTATAAAACAAGATTAGAGGTATTTGGGGGGTTTTGTTAACTTTGGGAATGACCAGCTTTCTCCAGTTTATGCCAAACTAAGCAGCTACAGATCATAGCTTCATATTTATAATGCAGATGTCATAATGACATCATTTTGCTTCAAATGAGATGCCAAATAAGCTTATTTTTTCAAACAGAAAATGCTGATGTTGTTGCTGTTAATATATTGGCATTTGGTCTGCTTTTAAAAACACTAAATGTAACCACAGATTAAAAATGACTTATCCCTTTCAACGAGTGCAATTACTACAAGTGCAAGTACATCGTCGAAGTTTTGAACACCATATCTGTTTTAATGATAATATCTCGCAGTAAGCTTCCAGTGTTTATGCTATACAAAACTCATTAACACTTGGCTCTAGTGTCATGATGAATTGCAGATTTGAGAGAGATGAACATGCAAACATCAATATGAATAGCCACTGCTTTGGGTGTTCTCAGTACCACGAATACCACTGTTGATTTTACCCTCCTCATTTCCTCTAGCTCCTCTCTGTTTTATTTCTCAAGCTTCTTGTTGATTTTATGTTCCTTCTTCCTGGTATAGTAATCATTTGGTATAGCAATATCTATCTACCATGTCCAGTTCGTTAGTATCACCTGTTTGTCCGTCTGTATCTGGAAGTCCCACAAGATTTTAGCTCAGACATTCTTAACTACCCTAGGGGGCATATCCCATTTTGATTTAGGAACTTGTCACAGATGTTCTTGTATAATATTCCAGCCTGGTGGCCTTGCCTGGTGTGGTAGACCCCAGCCTTTATTGATCTAGTGCTTAGAGCTTGTTCCTGCACTGCAATAATTATTTTTCTCAATTTTCTGCTGGGTGAGGTATTCACTAGGCACATAATCAGGTGTGGCCATCTTCCTGATTAATTCATAGATATATGTTGTTTCATCATGGATAGTGGCCCTAAGACTTTCTCTAGTCCTTGGCCTTCTTCTTTCTGCTTAGCCTTAGTCTCAGAGTTGAGGGGTGACAGCTTCCTTGGAGTTTTCTTGTCTTGATGTCAGTGGCTTCTATCTGCTGCTTTGGCTAGCAGGGTATCTGATCACTGGCACTGCTGATTGCCCAAATCTTGTTCTTCCCATTCAGCTAACTCCTTAGGACTTGCCTTACTCATGGGAGATATTTGGTAATTGCGGCTTTCCTAGCAAGCTCTTCATGACTCCCATTTGCTTCCCAGGTACTTGTAGCTGTCTTCAGTGTCTGCAATGTTCCCTTCTGGTAGTGCAATCGCCTCCATTCTGATTGTGTTTCCTCTTTTTGTTGCCATCCAACTACACTTCTCCAGTTCAACTGTAGATAAAGTATTGCAATTTCAGGAGCAGGAACACGCCTCCAAACATGCTCCTTCCAGTTCTCATCTATATAGGTTCCCTCAGTTCTACAAGCTGTTCATTCTCGTTTACGTGCCTCACCCTCCCTCCCCTTTTCAATCCTTTAACTTCTTCACTTCTATTTAGTACATGGGGATCTGCCAGGCCCTGGAGCCGCCGCCAGTCCCCTTCAAGGCCTTTCCCAAACCGCAGCTCAATTCATGCCCAAGCCATTCAACTTTACCTACTAAAACGTTATCAAACCTAAAATGAGGACATGGGCCCAGCTAGTGAAATGGCAGCCCGAATTCTGTAGATCCTAGTCGTGTGCATCGGTGGTATAGAGCTTGATGTCATCGATATAGAGGAGAAGGCTGACATTTGCTCTATGCAGTAGTCAGTATCCTAGTTAATGATTTATCTGAGGTTATTTAAATCTATGCAGAACAACAATGGTGACAAAATATAAACACACTTATGCAACTAGCTTAAGGTTTACCTCCAGTGTTTTTCGCCACATCCCCCACTGAATTCCTGTTGAAGGCTCTTAGGGTCCTGTTGATCAGTTCTAAGCATTCCAGGATCCATTTGTGAGACACTGAGTCATAGGCATTCTTGTAGTCAATCCAGGCAGTCCACAGGTTGGTCAGTCTGGTCTTACAGTCTCAAATGACTGATCTGCTACCAGTAGTTGGTGCTATGCTGATTCCTTTCCAGCCCAAACTGATGAACTGAGCCATGTGCTTGTTCATCTCAGCCACTATGATGCCTGACAAGGCACTAATGCAGATTATCGGCTAGTAGTTGGATGGAACTAGGCCCTTCTGGGGATCCTTGACTATCAGGACTGGTTTTCAGTTAGCCATTCCAGGTGGGTCTCATCCATTAGCAGCGGCCAGATGTTCATGGACCACAGTTAGTTTCTTTAGTCAGTAGGTGTGAATCACATCAGGTCCTGGTACTATCCAGCTTCATGCTTGAAGTTGTTTCTTTTATATCTGTCACTCTCATGGTTACTGGGTCCTGTTCAAGGAAGTTGCTGTGACCTTCTCTTAGATTTGCAAGCCACTGAGCATTGTTGTAACGTGTTGCAATATTCTCCCATATGCTTTTCCAGTATTGCTCTGTGTTCAGCCTTGGTGGGGTTGCTCTCCTATTGTCCTCCACCACTGAGAGTACACCTTGGATGGTTCAATGGAGAACAGCTAGTTTATTCTTCTGGCTTCTATCCCTCTGGTATAACTGAAGATGTGCAGAGGTCAGTCTTTGGTTGGGCGTTTCTAAGGCCTCAGGTATGAGCAGGTTGTTGTACTTCTCAGGTAACCCTTTCTTCATCACACTTTTACTATAGTTTTAATAATTTTGCTAACTTCCCTTTACTACCTTGAGCTTATAGCAAAGCAAGGATCACTGTTGGGATATATGAACTAGTTGGTTTTAGTGATGGTCGCAGTAGGGATTGTCTATAATGCTGCATTCACATCTCTTAGTAGATTTTCAGAGGGTACTTCATGTAGTCATGTAGTCAGACTCCAGGTTTCTAGCTTAGCCATGATCTTCTCTTTTAGGTCAGCTCCATTAACACCTCCAACCTCCAACCCACCAGTTCTTCTTGGGGCTCTGTACCTAATTTTGGAGGGTGGTAATGATGATATCTCCCCCTGGATCTGATAGTATGTGTTGTACCTTGTCAATCTCTAGTTACAATGCAATTGTTTCTTACAGATGTTGAAACACTGAGCTACTAGTTGTTTTGATGTTAGTCTAGATGTTGGGTGTCATATATATATATTTTTTCATTGGCATGGGAAATAATTTTGAGCATTTTAACCATTGCTGATGATTCACAGAACAAATAGTTCGGCTGTACTGTTTGTAAGGGCAAATTTATCCAGCCATTATTGAATTTATTTGCTCCTCCTTGACCTGGTTACTCATGTTTTCTTTATATCTTGGACATTTCTGTTTAACCCTGTTTGAGTTCTTGAGGGGACAAGTGTGAAGCTTTTATGGGAACTGTAATTACTTACAGAAAAAAAAAACAGTTTTCAATTATTTGCGCATGAATGTAATCTTAATGGCAACCGTTATGTAAATTAGACATGTTGGAACAGAGGTTTTCAAAAACAGAAAAGGAAGCATCACCATTCATTATAATTGAACAGTGTTAAAAAGTGTATGCAGTAATAATAAAAAAAGTAGGGTTTAAATACATAACAAGATGACATTTTCATCACACAAATGTGCAGCGTATCCACTGCATGGACCAAAGGTTTTGTTGTCTCTGCACTACACGTGTCAGAACTTTCAGCTTCTCTCCAAGACTAATTAATGTATTGCAAATGCTAACGAAAGCATTCCTGTCCCATAAGTGTATTGAACATAATTACCTGCCAGCCTGCAGAACTCCAGATATGGTGAAGAGCCCAAAGTCAGTGATGACGACTTTGCCATTGTCATAAAACACATTCTTGGACTTCATGTCTTTGTGTAAGATCCCCTTTGCGTGGAGGTAGCCCATCCCCTGAGGACAGAGAGAGGGAGGGAGGGTGGGACACCTTGTAATACATTCTGCTGAAGTGTTTTGGAGAAATCAGTGCAGAGTTATTTTACCTTGACCATCTCTTGCGCAATCTGTCGTGTCTTGTTAACATCCAGGACAACTTTGGCATCTCGCACTACAGAATAAAGTGTCCTGCCTTTACAAAAGCTGGAAAAGACAGTAAAATTCAGGGTTTACATCAATGCCAATAGGTAATACAAATTTGATAAAATCACTACATTATTTAGATGTTACAAGTCAATCTTAAAAAATTCCTTTCGAAACTTTTAAATGAGTATTTTCAGCTTAGTTTGTCACTGGTTTCCTGTCATTCCAATATGTCTCAATCATGCTTTGTACATCAACGTTGCAAAGAGAAGTGATTCATTAAGCTTGTAGAAAGCAACTGATAAGTGCAGGGCTAAAACCTCGTATACAAAGAAATTAAAATAAAGGACTCCCGTACTGCTCTCCTAAGAATAAAAGAAAAAAATTCATACAAGATAAGTGAATATGGTAAATGGACTGATACTTATATATTGCTTCTAACAGAGAATTCAAAATTGTTTTGAAATCATATTTTAAATGAAATGGAGCAAAGAAGCAGAAGAAGCAGGGAACTGGAGCTGCACTATTTTACACACATATCGTGCCTTTCTGTCCTCATTTCATATACCAAACATGGCCTCCGATTTTGGTGGTCTAGTTAAGCTACAAAAAATCTCCAATGTGTCCCTCTTACATGTCAGTGTCCACTGCCCAGCATTGCAGCCTACTATTTAAACCCCTCCACTGCCCCAGTATCCACCTGTAAACTCAGGGGAATAGTTAATTATAAACCCCCAATTTTACTTGCATATTGATGAGTGGTGAGCTGGGTGCCTAGACTGTGAACACACACTATGCTGTGCTGCTGTAATTAATCATCAAAGTATCAACAAGCGCCTGACATGTTTCCACTTCATCTAATCCTCATCTTTTAAATGTTCAGTGTTACATAAACAGAAAAAATATTTGTCTAGAAGTTCACAAGTGTGCATTACTGGAGTTTGAGACACTGTTAGAGGATAAAATGCCATCCTATGAACTAAAAGCGAAGTTCACTGTAAGCCAGAATGGAGCTAGACTGTATTTCAGCTAGACAATGTGATATTTCTGGAGGGGTGCCATCAAAATGGCATTTTAATAGGCAGCTCAACAAACACCCCCTGCCTCACACTTGAAGCCCTCAACCCCGACTGTGCCATGCAGGTGACCAACAAAGGACCCGAAGCTAACAGCTCATACATATTCATTCCTGAAACAATCTCATGACAGCCTCATTTTTTATATTTAAAACCTCTCTTTACACGTCTTTTATTAAACACAGAAATCTAACTAACAAATGCTGGCTGGTTAAATCTAAATTTTTATGCAGACATTATGTTTTATGACAGTTACTTTTATACCTACGGCAAATATGATATGGATAATCTAGTCTAAGAAGAAAGGGTGTATTTAATGGAAGACAAGATGATGGAGAACTAATGAGTCCACCTTAACATTCTGAAAATCACCTTTGTGCTTCAAAATGAATTATGCAATTTACATGAATAAAATCCAGCAGTAATATCACTGTATCCTCTATGCCCAACAAAATCAACCAACATAAAGGAAAAAGTTAAAGGAAAACATTTCAATTAATATTTATGTTCCTATTAATGCAGCCTGAAATCTTTAATAAACCAGTGTGCTTCGTTTTGCACTTTGGTCTACATGATTAATATGAAGACTATTTTGTAGTAACTTTTTTTTATCCTTGTGGTGTGAGAAGCAGAGTATTAGTGGATAACAAAGCCACCTGTTGCACTGACATTCGCTATTATTTTCAGCAATCACCAGCGAGGATTTCTGAGAAGCAGCCAGCTCACCTGTTAGCTCCCCTGTGCATACAGCAATTTCAACTGGCATCAGATGCAATATCTCAGAAATCATACAACTGGTCATTTAAAACAGTAAATATGATGGAAGGGATTAGTGCATTTGTGCTAAAGCATATTTAAAGTTGTACATTTAGTAAGAGATGGACAGTCCCTTCAAAACAAATATATGCAGAGACAATGTATAAAAATTGCAAGACTTCCTTGTTGTTCACAGCCTATGTAGATGACAATAGGACGGGCAATAATTTCTTTCTGAACGTCATTAGCTCTGCTAATTAATTAAATGAGAGTACTTCTCGTGATGTTCTTTAACAAGAAAACAACCTTTCTCTTAATTGTTATAAGTGGCAAAATACTTACAGTACTTAAATCTGCCTAAAAGTAAACACTAATACATGAAATAATTAAAGAGAGAGAAATCTTCACGTCCACTCTAACCTCATATTATCTGCTGTTGCACTGTAGTGAAGACAAATGCACTATTGCTATGGTGAGTGGTTGGTTCATCTATTCAGCAACAGCAGCAGCCTGCTCTAATCATAACCTCTCCACATCCCATTGTCAGACACTCTAAACTCATATTTCTAAAGGAGGGAAGGTCTGTGGCTGATCTAGAATGAATGCTAGGTGACCAGGACTGACTGTCAAAGCCATAAAATGGTCATTCTCTCAAGTTCAGAAGCAGACCAAACTACACATTTTAGAGCTGTGAAAATGATGAACGGATGGATGGATGGACGGACGGACGGACACACAGACAGTTACCCTGGTTAGAGTTGTATAATTTTTTTCCCTACAGATAACCCATATGAACATTTCTGCATTTTATCTGCGATGATCCATTTATGGAGTCTCATTATATTGCTTTTTATAATTGCACTGTACTTTCATTTGTTTTATGGTCAGCATTCTTTTCATTGCCATCTGTATATTATTTTTGCAGCCTGCTCAAACATGAAAGCTCAAATGAACCATTGTGTACTATAACATATTCTAATATAGGGCTATTGATGGACACCATTATGACTGCAATTATAAAGAACAATAGAGGTCGTTTTAAAAAGTTCTTCAAACTCAACTTGTATTATTTTAAAGTGGCACTTTAACTGACCTTTTAGGCCATGCAAATATTGTAGTTTCCTTATTATTCAATATTATTTCTGGACATTAAACTATAAGACATGACATGTTTACAAGTTAATTCTTTAAGGTACTCAGATTACTTTCTCATTAATTCTGAAATTCAAGTCATTTTTTATTTAGTTTCTAAATTAAGTAATCTGTTGCTGGTAAACTGTTTGCTTGTATCTCTTTTTCTTTGCTGCCACGTAACAAAACAAAATATAAAATCCTCAGTGCATTTGTTCATGTTTCTCTCCTAGTCCTTAACAGGTAGCTACATTCAAGTGTTCATTAGCTGCTTTTTGTAGTGAAGCTCAGCTTGTGAGCCGGTAGAGAGGACAATCACACAATATAGCAAACAGTACTTAAGTGTGATCAATGTCTGTCAGAGGTGTAGAGCTTTATCAAGAACACCTTAATTCAAACTTAGATCTTTATCCTTACCTGGTAATGATGGCCAGATGTGGTGGGCTCATGCAGGCCCCCATAAAGAGCACCACATTTTCATGGCGAGTGTTTCGGTAGGCCATCACCTCACGTTTGAAGGCCTTCAGCTGGTCTTCGTTATCACGCTCAATGTCAATTAAGCGAATGGCGACCTCGCCATGCCATCGTCCATGGAAAACCTTTCCAAAGCGACCCTTACCAATCATCTCCCCAATCTCTAGTTGCTCAAAGGGGATGTCCCATTCCTGCAGGAAGATACTGGTCTGACTGGCCTTACGTGGGAAGTTTCGAGCCGACAGGAGCGACAAGTTCATCTCCTCAAACTCATCACCAGAGTCCTCATCATTGCCTTCCTCATTCTGTGATAAAGCAAAATTGAACTGTGGGTAGCTTGAATTTCCTACACATGTATGGAATCAAAATGCCATTATACACAAAAAGATAGTGTTAAATCATTCCAGCAAGATAGCAGATGGATGTTTTATTATTTTTCTTATACAAATGCCATTTAAGAGAAGCATAATTATCGGCAAAAAGCTTCTCCAACCCACCAAGCTTTAGATGTAGCAAAAGCTCTGTATTCCCAGGATGAACCGTTTTTATCAGATGGTAATGTCAATTTTTCACTTTATACATACATACATACATAAATAAATCATCTTTCCTTGTAACAATATATATTTTACAATGAGTATAGCATATGATGTGATATATTTTAGCTTATAAGTAAATGTATTGAGTACTATTTTACTTATAAACAGGATTGTTTATGAAAAAAAAACAAACACATACTGTATGTCTGTGTTGCCTCTATATATAATGATTTTTCTGTGGCTGTTTGCACTTGAAATACTGACTGTTTAGACTGTTACCAATAAAAAATAGACTGATAAAAAAAAGGGAAAACAACCACAGGGAAAAGTGGTTGATTTACTCTGATTTGATTTTAAATATAATGCACCGCAAGAGAGAAAATGACCTACTCCAAGGCGCCTGCTGGAATATCATTCAACGCAATCTGCATCACATTTTCTCAAATTATATCATTGTTATAGAAATAGCAATGACGAAGAGCGAAGATGTCTTTTCCTTCTTGTTGCTTTTGACGCATAACTTACCTAAAGGCTCCTCACAGAGCTGAGACAAATTATGCTAAATGAGAGAACAACGCAAATGACTGTGACAAGTGTTGGTGAGAGTGGTATTTAGTCTTCATTCGCATTCACCAGCAATTACACACTGATATTACTGGCATAATTGTCAGTACTATCAGCAATGCAAGGACTGAACAAAACTAGATCCGCACACGCTGAAAGCACAACAAAGGTCATACTCACGTCTGATGTAGGTTCAACTTCGATTTGAAGCAAAGGGTTGCCCTCATTGCTAAAATAAAAAGGAGGAAGAGAAGAAATATATTCATAAGGAAAAATATCTTTGCAGGTTTTAAATTCTTTATTGAGTGTATACATTGATTGTGTAGTATTAGTATTAGTATAAGCATGTTCTAAAGCCATCTATATGTATGTGCATCTGAAACCAAAGTATTTCCATGTAAAACGCTTTGAGATTCAGTGCTATATAAAGAAAACTGAACTGAACTGAGTTAGTATTGCTGTAATATCTGTATGTTTCAAATAGTTATTATATTAAATAGTTTTCATGCGTGCTGGGAGCAGAGATGGTTTTGCGGTAGATATCAGTAATGTAGCCTCTACACAGAGATGTGGTACTCACACGTATGATCAGACAGGCTGATTTTTATCTGGACGACTATTGTGTGTGCACTGATGTGTGTCATTCCATATGATGTGTCACCACTATAACCTCTAAATCATTTCACAAGCAGATAATGAATATGTCTGAATACCATCTGTGGATGGCAATATACTAACGCCTGTGTCATATTAAGTCATGACAAATGTTTAGGTTCTCACAATAGTTTCCAACTATCGAGGAAGCAGAAAAGTAAACACAAAAAAGAATCAAAGATCACTACAAAAACTACAACAAGAACTGCTGTTGCAGTTTTTTGTCTCTATACCCAGATGAACTGATTGCACCTGCACCTGATATATCCTAATTGGCAATAGATAACTTCTCTTGACACCCTTTCCCCTGTGTGTCTGTCACAAAGACTGAATTGCGCTCTGTTTACAACACCTGGTTGTCTCTGACTAAAAAGTAGGAATTTTCTTTGTTTTGTTTTTTGCTTTTTGTTTTTAAAGTTGCTATTAAAGTAGAAATGACTGAATGTCATTTGTGATGCCTTTTGGGTGCTGGAGCCCTCTCCATGGATTAAAATGCTTGTCCAGGGTTCACTGCTGTTTTGTTTTGTTTGTACTTCTTTGTACCACTTTCACAACATTTTTTTTTCTTTTACAATGTGTTACTTTGCTGTCAGTCGATTCAACTTCCTACAGAATAACAGCAATAGATCAGTCTCGTGTTCCTGAGAGATTAAAAGTGCATATCAGAACCAGTGATTTTGGCCAGTGTTAAACCGATCTCGGTACTTAGCATGAGAATGGCACATGAATATTTTTAAAAAGGTCTGAACCCAGAATCATTAAGCACCAATGAAGCTCTGAAGGTCTGGAATATTTGGTTTTAGTGATACTTTTTGTGCACTTTTAAACAATGCAATAAATATCTGCAGGCAGCTCTGAGACCTGCAATTTAAAAGCTGCATGCCACCTTATTTTCTGAGCCGGTAACCTTTCTATTGTGCTTTTACCTAGACACCAAAGAAGAGACATGCTGTAGATTCAGAATCCCATTATAACACATAAGGTCTTTTATAGAGGCCATTTCAATGACTATGAGATGAGCTGGTCTTTGTGAATAGATATTTTGTTATTAGATTTGTCTTATTTTAAACATTAAAAACCAATATTTCTTTTCTGATATTTCTAAATACTAGATACAGATTTTTTTTTTATTGTTTACCTCTCGCAACTAGTCTATCTCCAGTGTTTACTTTATTATTAATCGTGTTTCCTTTTGTCAGTGTGTTTTTCAGGAGTTACATTTTATTTTTGTATTTTTTTTTTCATTCTTTAGCATAATTTTTCTTGGCAATGTGTCTTTTTTCATCAAAAAAAGCTATTATTTTTATTTTTGCACACATTACAATAAAAAGAATTACTGAACCCCATTATGCTGTGAATCATCTGCAATGTCTCAGGTGGCAAAAACACAATGATACTGAGACCATTTAATAGATAAATAACTACAATGTGAACAGGGGGAAATGTAAGAGAGAGGTCTTCTCATTAGTGGCAGCCTTTTTCTGACCCTAATTTTTATTTTCACATTCATTTTACGAGTTTTTAAGTGCATTTGCACCCTGTGCCCTTATTAATTTCTGACCCAGGCGTGTACATTGTCACCTACAGCCACTCACATGACATAAATGAACCCGTTTCCCTTATTCCACTCAACCCCCACTGTCCACATAATCGTCTGTGTAACATCAGTGTATAACTCCCCACATTCTATGGTATATTAACACTTGTTCGCAGAGCAACCCTTGACTGAAAAGACCATAGGTGAGGCAGCATATAAAATAATGTGATTCCTGTGGCGCCAAGGGCTGCTACCACCGGTTCGATCTCTGCTCTAATGAGGGAATCCTGCAGGGCGTTCGGGTCTAAAACAGGCCCTCATTAACCCTGAGATGAAGCTATTAAGGGCAAAGAAATCTGCCAGCTGCCACTGTAAGAGCATACAAAGAAGGGACAGGAGGGCGATAGCATTAATTAAATCAGAAGAATGTGGGTTTTATAACCACGCTTATGCATTCCCATTTGTCAAAAAGGCAGGGAACGATGAACGGGAGTGAGAAAGGGGAAAAATGGAGAAAAGGTTGCCAAAGATATGGGTTTTTAAATGAGTTTTCTCTTGCTCTTTTCTCAAGAGATTCATGATTCCTAAATATTTAGCTGTATGTGAATGCCCAAATCAAGAATAAATACAGATATATTATATGTTAAGAATCCAAGGTAAATTATGATGCATTTATTGACTGAAACTAATGGAGAATTTTTTTGGGGGGCATTCAGGTCAGAGTGTGCAGCCTTATGAGTCAGCTAGCATTTCTCAGTAGTAGTTGTACATTTTGTTTTCTTAATTTACTGTGGTTCATGCCTTTTCATAACTTCCTACAAGCTGGCTCTGGTAGAATTTGTTCCCAAGTTATGAACATATTTCTATGAAAAGCAAAAATAAAATACAATGTCTCAAACCTTGAATGGTTAATATTGGGGGAACAGGTAATGACTCTTATCTATTTCCCCAAGAGAGAGTACAAGGGGCTTTTCTTTGTCATTTAATTAGTGTTTTATATACAGTCTCCTGCTGCTCTGATTTCAATAAATGTTAAAACCCCGTTTTTCTTGTTGACAAACTAATATCAAGTCTTTTAGTTCTTAGCTGTCACAGTCACATGGGTGTTGTTAATTGTTAAAAGCCTAATAACAAAATAGTTGGCTTTTCATTGTGGGCTGTACACATTTTCCTTTCCTGTATACCCTTTTGGCTGTGAATAAATTCAGTCTATTAGTCTCAATAAAAATGAATATTTTGTCCTCAGTGAGATGACAAAATTTGCCAGCTGCAACTCATTCACAATCAGCCCCGGAGTGTACACAGAGACCAGTATAACAACAAAACAAAACTCATATGCATGCATTTGGAGCACCTTGTGAAAAACTGACAGTGAAGCTTTACAGCTCAACGCCTGAATGTGGTTTCAAGATACAGAAAACAATATTTCGCGTCACATTATGGTGATTATGGTAATGAATGTAATGCTAAATGCTAAACTATCCCACACATGGAGTCTATTGTTATGTATGCATGCCATTATTTTTGTATGATTCCTATTATTTCCAGACTTTGCCTTCCTGTTTTTTAATCTCAAATCTGGCAGCTGCTGTATAAATGAGGCATGATGACACCAAAGACAGCGTGTACATGTACAGCCCCGTACCTCAGTGTAAAAGTCACACTTTCGATTTTTTCCCAGTCTTACTACCATGTTGATTTTTTTTTAAATATAATTATTTGTTCTTGATGAATCTACTCCAGTCTTTCAGCATGACCTGTATGTCATCACAACTGATCATCTTCCTATAGATTCTTGCCCCGTTTCATGCGATATATTGAGATCTGATTTAATTAACATCTGGGTCGAGAGGCATCTCATCACTAATCCTTCTCTTCCGGTTGTCTTCCTATGACCACTGGCTTCCTCAAAGAGCTAGTGAAAATCCACTTGGCATCCCAAGTGTAGCGTGAACTAAAGGCCATGCTAACATTAGTCTCTGAGTAATCATCATGTCGTCCCTCGCATTGAAATTGCCACCCAAATATCTTTGCTCCAATAAGTTCAACTTGGCCTCTGACCAACTACCCCAGAGAGAAAGGGGGAAGAGGGGAGGAGGAGAAGGAGAGAAAGCATGCAGATGAGGAAAAGGCAGACTGACAGAGAGAAAAGATGATTGGTAGTACTTTCTTTCTTTAAATGTATTCATGTGGTTCTACTGAACTATTTCTGTCATTGATTTTACTTACCCTGGTTCAGAAAGAACGGGATGCAGAATGACCTGCGGAGCTCGACTGGGAGGAGCCTCGGGAGCAACATCTGGAAGCATTCGAGTTACAACACATCAAATTAACGAATTGAAACAAAACTGCATTCATTAAAAGTCATTTTTAACATTGGTGGTGCTGCTTATCATGTAATAGAAAAGCTAGGGAACACCAGCTACAACAGAGCCACAGTGGTGACCGAAATACCAGCTGTGTCAAAACTGTGATACTATTACACAAGGCAAGAGTTTTTCTTTCCCAGTAAAATGCAGTAGTAGCAATGCTATCATCATTGTAAGCCTTCTGTTTTCAGCTATCATTGCTAACTATCATAATGGAAGAAGGAATACTATTATTCCAACTGTTGTTGTGATTTGGCGCTATATAAATAAAACTGAATTGAATTGAATTGAAGTATGGTGTAATATCCTACTTAATGACACAAGGTAACTCTTCCTACTGTACTTTGGAAAAAATAATTAAAGCATGATGACATCTACCATAGGGCTAATCCTGTGGCATTGCTATGAATAGGTGAAATCTGATGCCAAATTATAAATTAACTCCCATTAACCTCTCCTATTAAACAGGATTTGAAGACTTCCAGGGTGCCTGTGAGTACATGGAAATTTTCAAACACACTTGGCATCTACAATACTTATTCACACAATGAAATTATGACCTTCATTATGTCAACAAAGAGGATGACTGCCATTCAGTTTAAAGAGCACCTAAAAAAACTATGACTTTATAGATTCTAAATGTTTACACAGAATTTTTTCTTTGTGTGTAAAAGCTGTCTATAATGATATGCAGTGAATTGTGACACAAATTATGAAAGGCAACATGCATTCTGAAACTCTCACATAAATACATTCTCCTTTTACATCATTTTTATATCATTTTCTTTTTAATTCTCACATTCACCCCTTTTACTTATATATTTCAATGCACATATTCATACATTTTTATTCTGACATTTTTATATTTTTCCTCATATGTAGTTCTCATGCACATTAATTTAATATGCATTTAATTCTATAAAGGATGTGTGGACGTAAGAAGAAAAAGTGTAATTTATTTGTGTCTAACAAAAGAATACACTAGATGCTTAAAAGCACTGGACCACCTACATATGACATCGACAGGAATTGCCTAGTCATGCAAATGCATATTTAGTCAGCAGAGCTTGGCGAGATTGGAATGTAACTTTACGTGATCTATCACTTCTTGGCTAGGTTCCTATAGTTCCTAAATGCTTTGCAATAATACCACTTATAGTTCCAAATGGAAGAAATTTCATGAACTGACTTCTTGCTCAAATTCAACACAATCTTTAGAGTCTTTATTAGACCCATTCTTCTGTTTGCAAAGGCAGATTGTATGACTAAGTGCTCGATTTTATACACCTGTGGTAACTGGGGGCTCCAAACACAAGAAACAAGGAATACAGTGGAAATGGCATGCAGGTCATCCAATAAGAATTTACAGATTAAAAGATGAGCTGAGTGTAGATCAGTTATCACGTTGAGTTATTTTTTTACTCTAAGTGATGGTTGCTACATTGGCCTAAGCAAAGCTGACTTATTTTATTTTAGGTTCTTCATATATAAGATGTATTTTTTTGCAGGCATATGTTTGTCCTCCTACAATAAGAAAAAAAAACTATGTGATCAGCTAATGAAAATTACATGTTGTCTAACTAAACAAAACAGCAGTAAAGACATTTTTTAACATTTACACTTACATTTTATTATATCCAGGCTACTGACTATAAAGACAACACAGGTTCAGTGGGGCATGTGCAGAAGATTGACACTCATATCCATCTTCAGACAGTTTCACCAGTTCAACAGCTGCCTTCCTACCAGACTGTACTCCAGATTGTGGTTACTCCTCATCACTTGAGTGTGAGAGTTATTCATTCAAACTTCTGCCTTGAACCATCAAAGCTGTATCTCACCCAAATACAGCAGCACTTACAAAGCAGGTTCCTTTAGCCAGCAGCTAGTATGCTCATTGGAAATCTGCCCTTCTAGTTTCCAGCCTTCGATGTCATCATTTGGATGTACAACTTCAGTAGTTTTAACTCTGGCACTCACATCTCAAACTAGCTCAAGTTCGCACTGCCAGACTCCATTAAATAAAATTGCTTTGACAGTTTGATTTTTAAAATCAAGGATAATTTTTTAAGATGCATTATTAAACTTCATTGCAATATTTTTCATCATAAAAAAGCTTCCCACCATACATTTGTAGGAAATTTGCATGTATTTATTGTTAACATATGACTACAGGAATAAAATTATTTTTTCCCCACATTAATGGTGTAGATTTAATTGCAATGTTTGATTTGTCATCATTATGCTGTAATGTTTAGCAGTCAAATATGACTATTTTACTGCTGCAAAAGCCTTTAGGCAGATACTTCATGATACTGAAAACCATAATAAAGGCATTAGAATATTTTTGGAGGAAGCAGTATACTTACGATAAACACAAATAGAGCAACAAAAAATACATTTGTATATAAAATAAAATTAAGTCATAAATGGCTTACAGAATTAAAAAGATAAATCCCCAAACATATATTCCTATCACAACTTTAAAGTACGGTGAAATTGATGACAATCTTTGAAAAATGAAAAATCAAGCTGCATCTAAGATCTGGATCTTTGTCTGGTTTTCAGAAGTCACTAGAAAATGAATTCATCTAAGCATAGGGCCCTAATGTATTGATAGCGTCTGTATTTCTTGAACCATGAGATTCTCTGGGAATATGTAGCACCTATCTGCTCAATACATTTTAATACATGAATGTAATTTCAGTTGCTACTTAATTCTTGTCAGAGACCTGTATTCGTTAAATTGAATGTGTGTATCTGAGAACAAAGAATGTATAAGCATGGGAGTCCAAAGACTCATACGTAAGAGGTAAAATTATGTATGTATTGAAATGAGAAATATATATATATGTATGTGAAAGGAGATTGAAAGTAGCTACAAGCAGAATCTACACATACAATATGTAAACGGAGAATGTGTGTATGTAAGTGTTACAATTTATAAATATGAAAGGGAAATGGAAATATGTGCGAGTGAAGATTTATGCATGTGAAAAGAGAATATCTTGATGTGAGAGCATCAGAATGGCTTATATGGGCTCTTGTATCAAATGCTATATCTAAAGTTATATCCAGCATTTATTTTTCAACTCATCTGCTGTTTTCACTTAAATGCTTCGAAGATAGCTCTACAACCAAACTTTCTGACATTCTAATAGTGGTGATAACACCATATTCTGCTGTATGAAGCACATAGAAAATAGTTTGCATAACGTGTTATACTGGTGGAGATGCGAACAGGTTGGATTCTCCCAACTATTTTTTGCAAGCATTGATCTTCAACATGCAAGACAGAGTAAGGTCAGCTGTGCTGTTGTATCCACCTCTGAAAGACATCAGAGGATTCACTGCTAGACTTGTTGTCTGTATTGGCACACTTTGACTTTTTTTTTTAATGCAAAAACACAAAGAGTGAGCCACAGAAACTGTTCTCTTTGTAGCATGGTGCATTATAAGCTGGCACCATCTCCTCACAGCGAGGGACATGTTTTTATTTTCTGTGTGGAGTCTGCACTGATGTTGTTGTGGATTTGCTCCAAAGACCTGCAAGCCAACAGGGCTGAAAGCTCTAAACTGTCCAGTGTTGGGAATCGGAGGCCCTCATATAATGATATCGGTGATCCATTTGATATAATGTCAAATTTTGTGTATCCCATGCCAGCAGAATCTCTGCAGATATATACTCAACCCCACCAAAGCGAACACTTGTATGAAGACCACATATTACTACATTTTTGTAGTCTTTTCAGAATAAGAGAGAGCAGTAAATTTGAGATGACTAAGACATTACATCCATGTATAGATTTTTTTGATTGATGGTGAACAGTAAGAAGTTGATGTGTTGTTACATAGTTTATAAAGGTAGCTGAAGTAAAGAGCATGTGTGGCAACAATAATCAGAACATGCTGCAGCTTGCTGAGCACTATAATTATGCATTTCCAAAAATCTGTCTCTTCAAATTTCACTCTTTACCTAACACCACTCCAGCTTGTCTCAGCTATAATAACCTGCCAAATGAGCAAAGACTGTATGGTACCAGTGTGGGCAAGAGCAAAGCGTCTGGATATTGACAAATCATTAGGAAGCCCAAATGAGACAGCATGAGTGGGTGTAGAGATTTTTCAAGCAGGCCAAGGTGAGGGGATGAAAACCACCAACAACATCAAAAGGGCCCTCCTTACTCATCCTTGGCTAGATGCAATGCATTATAGGAAGGGGAAATAATCAATTTTGAGGTACTTACCGGGGAATATGAACTGTTGCTTGTATTTGAAATAACTGGAGGCTGTGGAAGGCAACAAGAAGAGCTAGAGTTTGATAAAAGTTGGGTAGACTGTCCAAGTTCACATGGCAATTTGTTAGTTTAGTATTCAAAGTCAAATTAGTTTGAACAAATCTATGTCGCAATATCTATTTATTTGAGTTCATAATTTCAACTCAAGGTTTGGTTCTCAATCCCTTCTTTGGCATTTTATTTACTTTTAGCAAAGGAAAATGCTTCTATGAGAAAAAGAAATTAGCTCACAGTTGCAATTACTTAATTTTGCTTCAGCTCTGACATTCACTTCAGTCATTAGCATAATTCTTGCATTGCCAAATGCTAAGCTAAAAGAGCCAACATACCTTCTTTTAGCATTGTTATTGTGGGCATGCACCAAATGCACCAAACTTTTAGAGGGGAATAGGAATTATATGTGTATTAAATACAATACCTGTTAAGTTGAACTGTTTCTGTTGCCTTGCTGACTGTGGGGAGGGGTGCAGAGGGGAGGGTGGCGTGGCACTGCTGGGCAATGGAGGAGCTGGGGAGGAAGGGGTGGAGGAGGTGGTGGATGAGGGGTTACTGCTGGAGTCCGGTTGGTATGGGACTGGGATGTGATCCTGAGAAGAGACAGAACAGATAAAGATAAGCATAGGCTTTTTTCAGACTTAAGTATTTGTAATTTTAAGGTGAATTTATACAGTCAAATTTACTAAGTGGGGGCAAATTAGCGTGAGGCTGCAATCGCTAAAAATGCCCCCATGAGAGACGATAGCTCTGTGGTTGCTCTACGAACAATGAGCTCATTTAAACCACAGTTGAGGTAATGACCAATGTAATCTACCAAGAGCAGCAAAAATTAATGGAACAAAAATGAGCAGAGCCGATGAGGGAAAGAGTAATGTACTAACCAAAATAATATAGTGTGAGTGCAGGTTGCACACATGTGTTTCTCTCTGGAAACAGCATGGCAATTAAGATAAACAAGAGGCAGTTGAAGAGGAATCAATATGTTTTTGGCAAACTCTGTGGTTAGAAGTTCCCAGGGACAGTATGAGTGTATATATGTGTGTCATCGCTGGGTAAATCTGACAACTCGGGTGAAGCACACGATTTATCAAGTGTATCGCTGCCTTACCACAAACTCTTCTACTTAAAAAATTTGAAACGTGTGTGTTTGTGTGTGCGTGACTTGGGTGCATATTAAAGAAGTTGCTGTTTCATGCATCGTTTTTGTTTTCTCTACACAGCCAACTTAAAATTTTGTAAGATTAGACATTCATATAACACACTTAAGTCCCTTTCAGCCCCATTAACTGTTGTTTGGCATTAATTGTAGACATGCAATAGATCCCATGAAGATCTAAAACAACACGTGGCTATAAGTGTGTGCGATGCAGAGAAATACAACACACACAGAAACAGTTTTTATTGTGAGTTTCTCTCCAGAAATGTGACCTAAATCTCCAAAACTGCAATGTACAATGTTGCAATCTGCAATGAGGCTGTCCACACCTTTCAGTTGCACAATTGACACTGCACATATTTAATAAACACCAACTGTAGCTTTTAAAATCACTAAAAGAGAGTTTTATACTGACACAGTTACCAAATCTGGCCCTCAGTTTGTTAATTGTAAAAGGCTCTCACTCTGCTTTATTGTTGAACTCTCTCTCCGTCTAACTTGGAGCCTCTAGACTGATTTTCTACCTTCAAGGCAGAACTTTTTATTCATTTCAGTACAAAGTAAACATCAGAGACTTGGAACTTGCCTGGCAGATGTAATCCATCACAATGAGAAATGTAGTCAACTTTACTTTTCTGTAAAATGTTTCTCATCTTCTCATCTTATTCTCATCACATCAGATCAGTTCTTCAGCCGAAGATTTTGCAAAAATCATTTCAGATCTAGATGACAGCCCCTGACTAGACTCCATCTAGTTTAAATTCAAATAGTTACTTAATATAATCATTTCATACTGACGTCTAGTCATCCAAAGACTTGGGTGTAGCATTTTATTCATTCAAATAATTCAATTCATTTAATTTTCAGTGAAGTTCTTCCTGACTTTACAGACTTAAAATCAATTTATAAATTAAACAATTTAGAAATTTTATCCAGAAAGCAAGCAAAAAAAAAAAAAAGAAGTACCTGATATTGATGAAAAATAGACAATATTTTTTTGTTCAGCGGCCAACTGTTAAATCTCAGGTGCCCTTGAAATGCACCAACACGTAGAGATTTCAAACTGTTATCCAAAGAGAAAACACCAGACAAAAATTAAGCTTTTCAATATGATGGATCATCTTCCTCAAGCAAATTTATATAGTTTCTCCTACTTGATTTTGAAAGCGCACTGGATAGAGAGAAATCAATGGCTGCCTGGAAGGTGGTAAAGCAACCTGAAGAGTTAGGGAATACTTTGTAAAAACAAAAAGAAAAATAAATCAGAGCATCTGTAGTTTGTAACAAATTATCAAAGTCTATTGTATAAGCAATATAACAATCAATCAAATGCAGGTTAGATTTTAGGAAGATATCATCATCTCCTGCAGAAAAAGATTAACTCTGAAAAATTATATTAAAAAGTAAAGATAATATCAATGTGGTATGTGCAGCTCGACTGGTGCACAGCAGATTGTGCACTGCCATATATTTTGATACCTAACGTCATTAATTTAAATTATGATAGAACCACAGTTTGAATTTGCAATTTGAAAGAAACATACAAACACAAGAAAACTAAATGAATTTAGTTTCTAATTCTTTAAGTAATTATGATACGAACATGAAATAAAATCCAGGGGTTAAATGGTTATTTTTTAATTATAATCACTCCACAAGATAATTGTTCCTAATAAACTTTAAATTACATTTATCACATCTGAAGAAATTAACAGAATTTAGTGATACCACCATTTTACTTTACTTAATAATATTTCAAAGTTTATAACCAAGATTTGAGTTTTGGAAAAGTGAATCCATGAGAAACACAAAACATATGTGCGTTGACAAAACGAACACACTCCAGTTTCTGAAAACCTGAAACTGTTAGACAAAGGCATACATAAAAGCTGTGGCTTACTCACATGTTCACACCTGCCCATTATTTCCTAACAAGCGTGTTTGTTTCACAGTCTTTCCAGCATGGTGTTACCACCATGGGAATTTAGTGATAAACTTTTTTCTCTGGAACTGAGCTGAATTTGATAGATGTGCTGGCTGTAAAATATCCAGTGTAGGAAAACAAATCCATCTGTGTAAACATCAATATTGCTGAAGATATTTTCGTATGGTTTCCTGATTCCAAATACACAATGACTCACAAAGCTCCCAAAAATAAATGAAAGCGATATGTAGGACAAGAAATACGCAGATTGTAATACACGGTTTATTTTTTACCCTTACCTTGTTGATTTTGTTGGTTTTGGGGAGCGTCTGACTGATGTGCAGGTCTGTGTACCTGAGCGGGTTATTGATGTCACATGGCACTGATTCAGTCCGTACCAGACGAGCTACTGCAGAAAGAAAAAAGCATAAAGGAACAATGAAGCACTACGGGAGATTGACATTAAACAATAATTGCCTAACAGCTTTAGGAAAATTAGACAAATTCTTTATCAGACACAGCTTTTAATGTGAGAAAAATGAACAAACTGCCTCTCCTTTAACACCATCCATCTTTTATCACACACACACACACACACACACACTGTTAAAACAAATTTCCTTAAGCAAACTATGTCATTAATAAACTGTCATTTTCTCTTACGAAAGCAGAGGAGACATCTAATTAGTGCTCTTTACCTTGAGTTGTTCCTTGATGATCTTATTTTGAGAAGAAGGAAGGCAGAGAGAGGACAAAAGAAAAAAAGAATCTTAATTCTCATTGCAGATAATAGGAATTTCTTCAGTGCTGTCTGTGTCAGTATAAACAGCTTATGATGCATATTTGTCAAACCTATATGGCTTAATTAATCAGGAGATAGCCTATACCTGCAGAAGCAGTTTCACTTTTACAAATGAAAGCTGAAAAAAAATATAACTTCATTTGCTCAATGGAATCAGATATGTCCAAATTTAGTTAATCACAAGAGCTGTAGAGCCATGCCTTTGGGTTGCCTAAAACAAATGAGAGCTAGATAGCTTCACAAGGCTTGACAAAGGCATTAATCCTGGCTGAGCTGGCTAATAGTTAGGCCTCCCGTACTCTCACACAACGGTTTTAGAAGTCTTGTTAACCATTTATTTATTGCTTAATTATCTGTTAAACATAATAAAATAAAAACTAATAGTCAACAAGTGTAAAATAACGTCTTGATGCATGCTCAATCATCCAGATAAGTAAATCCCAAAAGGTTGATTCTGTTCATCTGGACGTCACGTTTTCAGTGGGACAAATGTTTCGTCACTCATCCAAGTGACTGACTTTACAACAATGGGCTGTAAAGTCAGTCCCTTGATCATTAATATGCAAATTCTCATGGCCATTGATCAACAACTACTGATCAAAGCCCATTGATCAATGGCCATGAGTACCATTCACAGAGAGTTGGGGAATGGCTGCAATCACAGCATTGTAAGATGGCAAAAGTACCCTTAGGCCCCCTCCTGGATTCAGAGATGGCCCTTCCCTTTTCACATAAATGGCCTCCTTGACTCCACGCTCAAACCTGGAACGCTTTCGCCATCTTACAATGCTGACAACTCTCTTTAAATGGTACTCATTGCCATTGATCAGTGGTTTTTGATCAATGATCAACAAAATGTGAAAGTCCGTCAATTTTGTATAAACATAATATCAACATTGGAAATTACATCAAAAAATACCTTTGAGGGATTCCCGTCCGCCTCGCTGAATGATCAGTAAATGGCAAGGTGGGGCTTCTTTGGTGCATTTGTTGTGGCACTTCAGCCTGAGTATGCACGAAACAGAAACTTGATTAGTGTGTGTTTTGTTGTTATGTGGTGTTTATTACACAGCAATAACACCTATGCAAAGTGGGTGGAAAAAGAGACAGATGCAAATTGGAAATTTATTCAAGTAAGCTGAAAACAAAAGGGGTCACTGATGTGTGTCATGTCGAAAAACAATCAAAAGAGACAAAGAGATATAATTGAAAAACAAGCGGGATGGCACACTAATTAAACAAAGTAATGACAGGAATATAAGCGAATGTGTGGGATTAGATATTAATTACTAATGTGGACACTGACAACAATGGGTACTCAGCACTGACCAGTACTGATACCTACTTGCAGTTTTTACATTTCAGTCCAAACAACATTCCCTTTCCACATACTATGCATGTCTGGGACATCCAGTATTTCGTGGAAAACCTACAAGCAAAAGAAGAGAAAGTGAGATTCCGAAAAAGGGCATCGATTTTTCACTTGTTGCACATCTATATGACATGAAGGAGCTGAGGATTACAATGAAAGGAACACGGGTTCTGACCTTTTGCCTTTCATAACGTTCTCTCATTGTGACAGAAGGCTTTTGGCAAACATATCTCATTCCCTGCCTAACCTTTCTGCAAGGATAATAGATGCCTGAAGAAGCTACTCCTCTGAAAGTGTTTACCTTCCTAATCTCCCTCACCTCCTGATTTAATTTGTGGCCATTTCATTTTCATCTTCCAGTAACACTGTGCGAACGAATAGGCTGTATGGTTTTTACATCAATATAACAATCAGTTTGAGTAACGGGGGTTCACAGGCCTGTGTCGCTGCTGAGGATTCCAACACAGTCTCTTCTACAATAAACAAATCCACAATGTACTTTGGTACCAACAACCAATTCCCTTCACACACTAAGTGGTCTGAGCACATATGTGACTATTGGCTGATGCAATGCCAGCAGTGTGGCTGGCTAATGGCAGGTGACTAATGTAGTCTGACAGAATCAAAATCTCTTTATTATGCCAATCTTTTTCATCAACTGAAAGGCACAACTTACTCCAACCAACTCCACCTGACTGATTTCTTTAGTAGGCTGTCAAATATGAGTGATAATATGAAATTAAGAGCCGATTCTGCTTAAAAAAAATTATCTTTCAGCACAGGAGAGGCTCTAAAGTGGTGGGTTATTCACTACTTTCCTAAATACATTTATCATAACATGCCAACAATATGATCAAGGGCACACTTCTGAAAACTGCAAACTGACATCAAGGAGGCTGCTGGATGGAATAATGGTATTTCTTAAAACCATTAATCACCTTAATCTTCAAATAACAGCTATATACATTACATTTGTGCTCAGTTTGGCTCCGTATAAAGATGCTTAGAGCTCCTCTTTCCACCTCACAGACTTTCAACAGGAAAAACACCCACGATCTCGAGGTTGCTAAAATCCTCCAACTAATACTGTAGCTATTGTTTTACTTTTTAGATCATAAGCACCCTGCTTGGAGTCAAGCAGGGTGAGAGTGAGAAAGAAAACTGAGTAAGTTACACAAGAAGCCCTTTTTAATTGGACTGCCATTCTATCACAGATGTGAGCATATGCACAGAAGGACCCTCATCCACACTCACCCACATATTTTCCTTTAGGCCTACCTGTGTTTTATTGAGTTTCCCAGATCTCGTCGGGGAATCTGTGGGGACCAGCGAGGCACTGAGAGAGTGTCTGGAGATAGAGTGGAAAGGAGAGGGCAGAGGCATGGTTTTTACTTTTTTAAGTCTGTCAGTATGTCTTTCAGAATTGACTAAATGTCTGGCATTGTGTATCACATTTAGCATGTATGGCATTTCAAGGAATAGACTGTTTTTGTAGCAACAAACTGATATTTTGGTGTCAGCTTTAATTAGCTGTAGAGAGTCAGGTTTAACGAAATGCTGTCCTTGTTATCAAGATAGAGTAGGTAGGTAGGTAGTAGAGGCAGAGGGAAAAAATCAATAGAGTATAGCGTCATGATATTTTGCATGGCAATATCTTATCGATATACTGACACAAAAAAATCCATATCTTATTATATAAATTGCAAATACAATTTGTTAGTACAAATGCTACAGAATGCTACTCTTGGCTGCTCCCTTATTCACAAGGGGTTATCACAGCAGGTAGTGATGCATGTTTGATTTAACAGAGTTTTACAATGGATGCTCTTAATGACACAATCCCAAATAAATTTGTGTCTCTTCCTGGAGGGCGTTCGCTTGTTAGGATAAATATAGTATTTAAACCACTACACCATAGATTAATAAAATCAATTAAAGTCCACCGGATGGCACTGTTAACTTTTTTCTATTAAGGTTAGCGGAGGTGACAATGTGCTGGATGAAGTTGGTAAAACAATATTATAGATTGGAGAAAGCCAAGGAAGCACCATCCGTGCTTTAACAGGGACGAGACAAAGACGATGGATATGACACATCGCATTTACAAAGTCAAATCTCCCACACCACCATCATATGATAACAATAGCCAAGGACACCAAAGCAAACTTTAAATCAGCTCAAGAAATAGGCAGTGAGTATTAAATGAAAACTAGTTTCTACAAAACCTCCTTAGTCTAATAAGGATCTTACTTTTTCCATAAAAAAGGAAAACCTTATTGTATCAGTGGATAATTAGCGGGAAAACCAAATTCACTGGAGTTTGCAATTGGCATTTGAACACTGTTTGACACCGTGCTGACCTCCTTATTTTTGAGTGGCTGCTTTTCACTGGAAATTCTTCATCCTCAAAGGCCACCTCCAGTCCTGCCACAGAGTTAATCAAGTCAACACCACACAGGTGAGCCAGGTTATACGGCGGCCGCTCCATTTGTGCTCCCTCTTCTCCAATAGCTTATTCTTAAGCGGTCCAGGAGATGGATAGATATCCCCAGGGAATAGCAAGCAGATTGTAATGATCAGCACATTGCTCTGATGTACTTTGTGTTATATTTTAGCATATTACTCTTTCCCGTTGTTTATGGAAAACAAAGGTTTGTGGCCAAGGCATGCTCTCCATATCCATCACTCTTAGCTCCTTTTAATTGATGGCCGACTGTACTAAGTATATAACAGCTGTAACCACATGAAACAGTATTACCGCAAACTTGAAATTGTTGTAATAGATTAAAACATACTGATGATTAAAAATAAACCAGTAGAATCACAACCAGAACTGATCCCCCTGTAACAATCTTAACATCTGTGCTGCACTGTGCTGAGATTTTTAACTGTCTTGAATGTTTTCCATGTGTGAATAATCTCTTGTAGAGGGGTGGACTTCAAATTGCTTGGTTTTATAATCCTTCTCAGACTGAGAAGCAGCAATAATTGCTTCATTGATCAGAAACCATTGCTGATACAGTTCCTCCTTAGCTTCACAGGCATCTGAATGCTCCTCGACATCCTCCAGCAGTGCCTCCACAGGTCTGCATTCAGTGAAATTAGACTAGACTAATGCAAACACTTTAGTTTGTCAGGTGCATGCCAAATTTATGACACGTTTTATCAACAGCGTTATTCAGTTGGTCTGTTTGACAGACTGATAAAACAGGTACTGACAAAGTCTGCTTTTGGAGATACAATTTCCAATTGAAAAAGCAATAAATTGCAATATATGTTATTTCAATACTTAGTATATTGCAAAAATTTTTTAAATTGCAATAATATTTTATTGTGCATTAATGATAAAACCATATTGTGGAGTCTCTGGTGATTCCCACTTTAAGCTCGATTGGTATCTATGTAGGCAGGTAAAGTAAATAAACAGATGAGTATATGAATAGGTATAAATAATAAGTATTGTATGAAACGAGCGAGACTACACAATGTAGCACATAATAAAAAACTTCTCTCTAATGCCCGTTGCAACCTTTTGGGATGAAAACAGAATAAGCTGAATCAGTACCACCTGTTTGAATTGTTTGCTGTAGATATCCCTTGATAACCAAGCTACTTTAGTGTTATCTATAATCTATTATAAAGAATTCTGGCTTAAAAAAGATTTTTACCACGAAAACCTTTCACATGGTCCATTAGTGCTTTCAGTAACTGAGCAGCCCGATTCATTCATAAGCCACCTCTTAATACCAGGTGAAAAAAATTGCCTGTGAAGGCGGCTGGATGTGGTAGATATGCATTGAGATGTTATCACACTCTAAAGACGTGCTGGCTGCAATAATTCAGTAAGAAAAGAGCAATGCTGAAAAATGCTGACATAGTCAAGGGTCATGGTGGAAAACCCCATAATAAAAGCTCATTTTTGTGTGTTATTTCAATTTCTGCAGAAACTGCACTACCACAAGTCCACAGGTAATTTTCAGTTACACTTTTACCAAAAAAATAAAGAGGAAAACATATCAAAAAAGCCATTATAACACTTACATATTTCTCAGAAGAGTATTTTTTTTATTAAAGATGTTATGTATGTTATGATAGGAATGCTAGCTAGAGCAGTCTAAAGCAGACAATAAGGAGCAGGCTGCAGATAGAAAGATGCATTTCTAATAATTATTTCTAATTTTCAATATTATTTTCACACTTGGCTCTAATAATTCAGCAATTATAAACAGAAATCTGTCATAATGTATCACAAATGTACATGTCCCACATTGGGAGAATAAATTTGTTTCATGAAAACACCACAACCGTATATATGCAGTATTTTGAGATTGTCAGTATACACCAAAACACACTCCCATCTTTCATAATGATTAAATAATATCTTACACAAATGTAAAATACATATATTTTTCAAAGAGTCTTTATACACGTATTCATGATTACTCTCTTTCCTGTGCAATACAGAAGACAGTTAAATCAAATAGGCTGAATGGAATGAAATAAGCTCGGTTGGTCGCAGTATAATTTTTAACTCATATGTATACTGCTAAAAATAATCAAGTTTTCATCTTTTACACCCCAAAATTAAATATTTGTAACAACATGATGGGAAAAGAGTAATTGTTTCGTCAATCTGACAGGTGTACAGCCACTGATTTTCTATTCTAAAATCTTAGGCTGCCTATAAAATATATATTTAGATACAATGTTTCCTAATAGTATCATGATATTTCCCATTAGTCCTGTTATGAAGCCTCCAGCTGAGCATTGTTTTTGTTTCCATCTTGGTATTGTAAAACCAAAGCAATATATTGCTTTGACACACACTCAGTGCTTAGTCAATGAGAATACCCTAGATAATCCACCTTTTTGACTCTAAAAACAACCACAATTAATGAAAGTTTTATTTAAAATGACTCCCAGAAACTTTTGCACAACTGCAAATGCTTGTGCCACCAGAGCACGAAGAATGCGAGTTTCAAAGCACTTCCATCTTTTATACTATTTATAGTTACAATGCTCAACTTTTTATGTTCAACTGACTACCAGAATACACATAGTATTTATAGTTTCATAAAGATTTGGGTATCTACTATAGGCCTATAGCTAAGTTCATCCAGTCTTGCTAATAACACTTGCTAGCATTAGCGGATAACATAGCCCTACACCATCTCAGTCAAATACGGTCACTTTTGGCTTAAATAAAACCAACGTGGTGGTAATCAAATTTCTAACATTAAGGCATCCACATGGAGTTTTACAAAACTCTGTCCTTATCCATTCAAATCTAGTAAGGGTTTAAACATACTGGCATAAGCCTGATACCCAAGTCATTGGCATTGAAGCAAATTAAAGTAAAAAGAAGAAAAAAGTTTTATATTATGTTATTTTTATAATGATTTATATTTACTAAATTACTAGGTTTTCTTTAAGTACATTAACAGTTTTCTTAGATTTTTGTTACTCGAACAAGGCGTTTATCACACAAGTTTCTAAATGGCCTAATGTACTTTTAGTAACACTTTTTCAGCACGAGCGACTGGTGTTTGAAGTTTTAATAACTGCAAGTAAGAAAGATAAGGAATCTTATTTTTTTCATCTGTTGAAAGGCACAGTCAGTTCTACTAATTCAGCAAGTAATCAGCAGCTGTCGACAGTGCTAATGTCATGGCCCTGGTGCCTTGAGCATTTCCTGGTTCCTGAAACACCCTTCCTCCACTCCTCCTCCACTCTCTCCAGGGGCTTGGTGTCTTCTCTCCACACTCCGATGCATTGCTCAATTACACTCAATCAACCTGATAACTCAATATAAAGGGAACTGACATCATCTGCTTCTTGTCCCCTTTGTTGGCAACTGGCAGATGATTGGGCTTGTCAGTGGTGGGGCCAGAGAGGTTTGTGTGTGGTTTTAACAGCGATGATTTTCTTTAACAAAAATCTTCTATGATCCTGGGACTCCTACAAGAGCAGGTAATGAGCATTTATGTCAAGAGAACACAATGAAGGCAGTCAAGTAAAAGCATAAGCTTAGGACATGACAGAATATTCTGTTTCGAATATGCTTTGCCCTCAACAAGCTGGTGCAGTTGGCTTGTGTCTAATGTTTTAATTTTTCAGTTTCACATGTGATTGTGATAAAATTAGGTATATATTAGATACAGATTAACTACATTAGCTTGAAATCCACAGGAACTGTCTCATGATAACAGCCCCCCTTTTGCTGTTCAGAAGCTGATCATTTTAAAGGCAGATGCCCTGTTGGTGCTGCTTCAAATTCAACAAAATCTTTAATTACACAAAAATCAGTGGAAAAGCTTGACTCTTATATTCATTTTTGTTTTTTATGTT